GCCCTCAGGAGATGAAGTGAGTCTGGGGAGTGAACTGTTCCACCTGGTGGTCCGCGGGGTTTGCTGACGCTTCGTAACTGCAGATGGTGACTTCGTGGCGATGAGCCTGAGTTGGGATGAAATGTGTGAGGCTGGAGGAGAGCGAATTCGAGTCCTTCCTAAAACACCCGACTGGCGAGAGCTGAGCAGGGTCCTGTCATCACAGAGCCCCCCACTTCTCCCACTTCCTCACCACCACAGCTGTGATCTAGAGCTGGTTTTAACACTCTTAGCAGAGTGGTGTTCTCTCTGCTCTCACCTACCTCCATCCACTCTCCTTTCAGGCCTATATAAAAAATCTTCGTTGTCTCTGCTCCAAAGTTCTTCGGGAAGTGCATGGAGAGGTGGTGAACGTTGGAGAAACGGGCAATTCTGAAAGAAAACACACCCGGGAAGTGGAGCCCATCTGCAGGCTGCTGCTGTGCTGGCACCTCCCCGCAGCGTGGCACCGGGCCCCCGCACCGAGCGCGGCTCACACGTGGGAGCAAACACCCGAGGGTGCAGGAGCAGCTTCCCCCATGCTGCAGGGAATTGGGCAGCTAGGAGCTGTCACAGAGCCCAGGAGCAGGGACACTGCGCTGGGATGATTCCACACCCCGAGAAGCCCTGGAGCACAGGTACGCTGCTGGCTGCAGGGGGATGTGCTCAGCCCAGAGCTCTCGCTGGACAGGGACAGGATGGCAGATTCCACTGTAAGCAGCTTTGGGATGCAAGGGAAGGCTGTGCCCCCTTTCTAACGTGTCCCTAAAGCCTGGTGGTACATCCACGGGCCAGACAGACACCCCCCCCCCCAGCAACCATGCCCTACTTGGTGGGATACTCCAGCTCGCCCGCCGGATCCCGGTTCAGGCTGAACGTCTGCTCTGCTTCCTTGGCTGCGTCATCAAAGGACATGTGAGGAATGTTCCTGAACCTGGGAAGAGAGGGAGGAAGCACAGGAAGTTATTAACATACAGGTCAGCCAATTGGCTTCCTCCCCATCCATTAGCACTACCTGGATTCTTCTCAATAAGAAACTGGAATTGCTTTGTCTTCTAAGGGGGGAAATACCAATGCCACCACAAAGCATCATTCCAGAATACCCAACACCCTGAAGAAACAACAAGGAACAGCGAGGGACAAAAGCTGGGGAGATAGAGATCTCAGCACGCTTGGGTACACAGAGCAACCAAGATGCTGGAGACCAAAGGAAAACAGGAGGACAACTGCCCCAGCAGACAGCTGATAATTACAGCTACAGCCAAATTCAGTGCTGGCGCTTTTGCTCAGGAATTTCCATGCACAAGGTGATCCCTGACAGTGCTTCACATCCATGTTTGTGGAACACCAAGGACAATAAAGGCATATTTCCACCCCCCACAAGCAAGAGCTGCACATTACCCAATACTCTCATTTCTTTTGCAAAAGAGGCAGTATTAATAAGGGTTTTGCTCCCTTCAAGAGCCAGAACAGGCCCCGGGGCTCAGCACAGCCTGGTCCCCCTGCACTGCACACCCTTGCTGCTCTCATTAGCTACGAGGTGACCAGTTCAGTTCAGGCTCTGGCAAAGTTAATGCTGGTTTCACTCACAGTCTCATCTCTGCTGGATGGGTCCCGTCGTCTTCCCCCATCACAATCACTCCTTTTAATTTCACGGTGCCCGTAAACCTGCCGGGAGACGCACGAGTGCCGTTTCCATCTCTGTTCCCGTCACATCGGCCCCGGTTACGGGGGCTCGCGGACACGCTCCCGGGTGAGGGCCGGGCTTCGCTCCGTGCCGGAGGAGCTCGGGGAGGGCACTTACGGGACGTTGAACAGAAGCTCCTCGTCATCGTCGCTCTCCACGAACTGGAGGGAGAGAGAGCGGGTCAGGCCGGGCCCGCCCAG